GCGAGTACAATTGTTTTTGCGTGGAATATAAAAGAATATGATTATAAGTATGAATTATTTCTTCCAATTGTTGAGATTTACAAAAACTCAGGTGCCATCAATAGTGCGCAGTATGAAGCGTTTCTCGAATTAAAAACTCAGAAGAAAAATCTTGCACTCTGTTTGCGAAAACCAAGGATTTCGTGCTCAAACCATGTGGAAAGTTTTCATTCCCATAACAATGCAGTTATGTCAAGAGTAAAGTCATATGCAGGTAAAATGAATGAAACATTAAATTATATAATTGCAAGAGCAAATCAACTTCGAAAACCAGAGAATGAATGCGCATTAAAACTCTTTCGAAAAAACAAGAAGAAAAATGGGTCTATGAAAGAGGAGAATCGTTGTAAAACAATGATATGCCAAAAGTGCCAAGACAAAATGAAGATTTGGGAAGAGAAATATTTGACAACAATCCCTTGCCAGCACTGTGCCCATTTATATACAATGATAAGTCCACCTCCAGCCCTTAAATTCCACAAAATCAAAAAAGGAGGAAAATCTGAAATTGTGAAGTTGAAAATCCAAAAGTGGCCGACCAGGCAAAAGAAAAGAATCCTGCCCCACTTCCAAAAGTGGATGATATAATAATTCATGATTGCCATATTCAAGATCTCGCTTCACTTGTTCAGGTTAAGTTCAATCTACGCGACATATTTAGAGCGACGTATGTGATTTACACAATAATACATAATATTCCGAATTTCTTCGAAAGTCGAATTGCGTATTCTGACTTTATATTAGAATCAATTCAAAAAATTGATATATATATCAAAGAACATGAAAATTTCCTTGCAACTCTAGAATGATATTTTAATAAAATGATTTGTATATCTAATTTTTTTATCAGATCGAAAGACATTTTTAATATGATTTAAGGGTCCACTGTAAGGCCAAATAAGACCTATCGTCGTCCCAAAAATATTGCTCGAGATGGTGTTTTACTAAGGCTCAAAACTTAAAAAAACTCAAAAAAATTAACTTTACTCTTTTGAGATCCTTATCAGATGTGCAACAATTTGATGCAGTATTGCAGTTCGAATCTGATTTTTTAATGTAGATGTACTCTAACATCCTTTAAAAAATGCAAAATGATATTAATTAAGCTTTTCATTTCTGTATCATACACGAAACAAAATCATTCATTATACTAAAATTTATCAAAGTTTGAATAATGAAAAAAAAAAATATATCTAAATTTTTACATTGAGTCTGCTATTGATATGGTTAATATTAAATCTTGTAACCACGGGCATTGGCCAGAATAATACCCGCTAAAATACACAATTTTTTAAAATTTTATCAATTTATTATGGTACATCTTTATGACAATGAATAAAATGCTTATCCTTCATAAGTAAATACATAATTTATGCTTAAACACAAAAAATAACAAGAAAATTTTTGGCCAACATATCAAAACTAAGGATAATGTTTTGAATATATAAGCAATAATACTTTGTCTAGAGAATTAAATTTGTGCTATCTAATTGTCAATTCTTTGAATTTTTTTTAATGCAAGATATCCCGGCATTGGCCTCAATGAATATAAACTGCATGCATCATAATATTAGTTTGTAATAGCATAAAAGCGAAATTCCTGATTTCTTCTCAAATAAATTCCTAAAAAAAACATCGGAATTAATGATTGGAAATAGGTCAAAAAAATTCCTACTATAAAACTTATACTTAAGATAAAATCAAAATTCGAAAATATTTATTTTTCAAAATACGCATCCAAAAGCGAAAAAATTCGAAAAAATCATGTTCTTAGAAAACTCGCCGTTTTTGCAATTTTTATCCTATTTGAAGTGATAGAATATATTACCATCTTACAAAAACCTATACTTCATTATTGCATTCACAAAATATTAATCAGAACACTTGGAAAAGTGAATTTTCGAAAAAAGACGATAATGATTATTTGCAAATCGCCTCTCAATTTTGAGAGACTTTCAATTTTTACAGTGGACCCTTAAGGCCGCACTTACGCCCATCTGACTTTAATTCAAAATTCTGACAACTGGCATGAAGCACCCTTGAAAATTAACCTTAAACGCCTGAATTGAAGGCCATGTCATAGGGGCGTAAGTTCACCCTTAAGAACTAAAAAAATTGGCGGGTATTGATTTTTATTATTTATTTAAAAAACTATGTACAGAGTTAAAAAAAAAATTTAAATAAGGATCAACGGATGGGGCTACAGGGAACTGATATATCCAGTATACCTGAAGTTCCATGTTGATTGGATTCCTCAACTTACTCACTCCCATTCCACTTCTCGGTTCCCTCAAATATCCTCGACATTCTCGCTCATACTTACCCCTTAGGCCTCCTCGACAAACTCTCATCATTTGCTCATCTCTCAGGCCTCCTCGACTTACTCACTCTTTTATCACATCTCAGATTCCCCAGATCTCCTCAATATACTCACCATTAATTATTCTTGGGAACTGTTTGATGGGTCTGTTCCATTTATTTCTTATCGTTCAAAAATTTTCCATTTTTTTCTGCCAAAATCGCTATTTCGCCACTGGATATATCTGGAGCCATAATCACAGCGGCATTTGTCTTAACCTTGTGTGGATGAGCATCTATTCGTTTTTCGCGGATGTTGACTATTTATATAACCTATCAAATTTTGAGATTAGGCAAAACAGGTTCAATATTTAAGGTGTTAACAAGGTTTGCCTTTGTGATTATGGTTGAGATATTGGTTTGAATAAATTAGATGTATGAATTAAGAATGTGATTTGCATCAAAGAGTGAGAATCGATAATATATGTGTTTTATATGTCCAAATGGTTAGGATGTGTTGGTAGAAGTTGGGTATTGTATGAATATTAGAAATCAATAAAGAATCAGAAAGTTAAGATGTGAATTTAAGAGAATAGAAGGGGGTCCATTCTCAAGGTCAGGACCCCCTTCTAGTCTTTCTGGTGCCGGAAGGAGCGCTTCTGACCGGTCTGGGCGCTCCTTCCGGCATCATCTTTGCATTTCGACCCCAGGTTTAAATTATGAGGTTCTGACCTCTCCTAAGGTCCGAGCTTCGTTTTGTAATTGTCTAAGGGCTGGATTCCGCTCCTGCCGCCCGGAATAAGGGCGGCATTTGAGAAATCCAGCCCTTAGTACTATGAGCCAGGCTCTGGTCTCTGCTGAGGGCAGAGCCTGTAATTTGGAGTCTTTCAGGGCCGAGATGAGAGGAAATCGCCAATGATGTGGACGATCTCCCTCAAAATCGGCCCTGAGGATTGTATTTGCAGGCTCTGGCCTCATATGAGAACAGAGCTTCGTGTTGTAAAATTCCCAAGGCCAGATTCCTCTCCTGTCGCCCGGGATAAGGGCGGCATTTGGGGAAGCCGGCCCAGAGTATTTAAAACAAATCCCCGGTCTTTGCCAAGGCCATAGCCTGTATTTGTATGTCTTTCGGGGCCGAGTTCTTGCGAGACCGTCGACATGATCTACGATCATCGCAAAACTCGGCCCTGAGGATGAATTTTGCAGGCTCTGGCCATTCCTAAGGCCAGAGCTTCGTATAAAGGTTCTTCCGGAACTGGAATCCTCTCCGGCCGCCCCGAAACAGGGCGGTCTTTGAGGAAACCGGCCGCGATGATGGTTTGAGAAGCTCTGGCCTTAGCAATAGCCAGAGCTTGTGATTTTAATGAAGAGCCAAGTTCCTCCTGGATAGTGCCTAATGAGGACGACCGTGGAGAAACTTGGCTCTGAGGTGATGAATTGTGAACACTGGCCTTGATGAAAGCCAGAATTTTTAAGTGAATGTTTTGATGAGATGAGTCTATGCTCAGTAAGCTCGTCCAATCAAAACATTCGTTTAAAAATTGAATTAAAAATTATCGTATGTATTCAAAAATTAAAAAATAAAAATGAATAATTTTATTATATAAAGAGAATTGAATAAATTCAACACAAAATTGAATAAAAATTTCCAAAAAAATAAAAAAAAATTGAAAAATAATTGAAAAAAATAATAAATTTGATAATAAAATTAACAAATAGACAAATTTAAGTAACATAGATAATGGTTATTTATGATTGTAATGGGAAATTGAGGAGTTTTGACCAGTTTAATACAGAATGTGATATTTATAATTTAATCAAATGAAGATGTTCAAGAAAGGAGTTTACAAATGCAGGGTAAAGGAACAATACCCTGCATTTGTAAACTCCTTTCTCGAATTAAATTCTCGATGTGACATTCTTTGGAAAAAGTGCAAGCAATTCCTGATTTGCACATATCGATGCAGGATTCTAGTAATAGACCCCTCAAATATATGAGCAAATCAGGAATTGTATGTGACATATTTACATCGAGAGACAAAAGTGCAAGCTTTTCACATTCTGCACATATAGGTGTAGGGTGCCAGTGATAGACCCTGCATATATATGTGCAGAATGGGAAAATACTCATACACATCAAATCATATAATTTCAACTCTCTGAAAATTTCATTATTATAGCTTATACACATATAAGTCTATTTAAACCCATATAGCAAATGATCATAATGTGAATAAGAACATGAAATTACTATTTTTGAGTGAGAATAAGTTATGCATCAGAGATAAAATTTGAGATATACATAATTTACTTATATCACACAAATATTTAATACTAGTTCTATTTAATTCCACTGTGTTTACATGAGTGAAACTAATATTGACGATCGTCGAAATCCAACATAAGGTTTTTGGAAACATATCATGAAAGCAATATGGTATATGCAGCAATGTATTCTGCATCAGATGCCACTGTGAAAATGGATATAACTCATTCCTATAGCGAGAAAAAGTATTTTGTCAGTTTTGGCAGAGAAAAAATGGAAAAATTTTGGACGATAAGAAAAATTTGGAGTATTCACACTGTTTGATGGACTCTAATCGATCAATCATCATTAAGATTCTCTTAGGAATTCAGACTCGCGTAGGAATTCAGGCACATATTTGAACTCTGGCGTTAAACAAACTCATACTTTCAACAAACTCAGATATCATTCAGACAACCTAGATCGCTCAGACAACTTAATTTTCCCTCAACCAACTCAGATCTCCCTCAAACAACTCAGATCTTCCTCAACCAACTCAGATCTCCCTCAACCAACTCAGATCTCCTTCAACCAACTCAAATCTCCCTCAACCAATTCAAATCTCCCTCAACCAATTCATCAGAACTCAGATCTTCCTCAACCAACTCATCAGAACTCAGATCTCCCTCAACCAACTCATCAGAACTCAGATCTCCCTCAACCAACTCATCAGAACTCAGATCCCTCAACCAACTCATTACCAAATCAGATCCCCCTCAATACCCCTCAAATCACATCAGACAACTCATTACCAACACAGATCCCAATCCATCTCCCACAACCTACTCAGATCTTCCTCATTCCAACTCATTACCAAATTAGATTCCCACATTGCGAACTCAGATCTCACTTATACCATATTATTCTTATCCTTAACTTTGTATTGTCTGAATAAAAACTTTATTTTTAATAAATTTCAATTTTTAATTTTTTTCTTAATTTATATTCTTATTTTCTATTCTAGAGTTAAAAATACCTAAATAATTTTAAAAATTCATCTTATCACTCTATATTTATCCTTAATTAAGTTGTGAATTTCATTTTTAAAATGAAAATCGCATAGAAGAAAGAAAAGAAGGAAAGAAGAAAGAGAAAAGAAAACAGAAAAAGAAGAAGAGAGGGGAAAAAGAGAAAAATGGGACATATTTGATGATCAGGCGTTATTTTTATAGTTCGCGCAAAATTTTTGATCCTAAAAACCGCTTTGTCTTGAGATCGAGGAAATAACGGCACTTTTCAGAATTCTACATCGAGATGATGCGCTCACGAACTTCTCAAAATGAGAGTATTAACGTCCAGTTCTCGTATTAACTTATAGTCGGGCGCATAAACTTAATAAATCCTAACGCTTTCAAAAAAAAAAAAAAAAAAAAAAAAAAAAAAGGGTATTGGGGCTTCCAGGCACTTCGTGCCCTCTAGCCCCGAAGATGTTTAGATTAAAATTAAAATTTTTATTCTGAAATGTTTGCTTTAATGTTTTTTACGGATGGAAATGAACTGAATATCGTCTGAGTCTTCGCTTGTTTCCTCCTCCTCTTCTTCTTCTTCGTCCGAATTGTCTTCATCTTCACAATAACCAGATAAGAAGATGGTTATTTTGGTTTGTTCTGGTTTTTTGAGAAGCATTTTGGCTGTGCCAGTAAAAACGAACTCAAGATTTTGATAGAATTGTCTGCTTGAGTGAGTGAATTTGCATACTGTAAGTGGCATTGCAACTCGGTTTGCTTGAACAGATATTATTGAAACTTCTTCTCCATCTGGTATCCGTTCAGGAATATCTAAAGCGGCTGTTGTGATAATATGCATATTGTTTTCGTAATGCAATTTTGGATATATTTCGAATGGATGTGCAGCTACACCAGCTGGAGCAACAATGGAAAGATTCCAGGAGAAAGAACCGTGTTTGTTTTCATCTTCTTTCCAATTGTAAGTTAAAGGATAAGGGCGAAAGTCTTTGAGTGTTTCATATAGCTGTTCTCTTAAGTTTGGTTCACAGCAAAGAGTGAATTCGTCAATTGCTTGAAGAGATATCATAGTTGAAACATAAGGCAAATTCGACAAGAAAAAGTCAACCATTACTGTCGGGTTTTGAACTTTGTTTTCTAATGTTTCGACTGGTTTTATTATACTTTTGAAATATCTATCATAGTCATTGTTGTCTGTTAAGGACAAATTGTTTGGATAATCTGCAATGAGTCTTCTATATCTTGCTTCTGTTGTTGAGAATGAGAAGACACCTTCTGGTTCTGTAGGAGTGTAAGTTTTTGGTTGAATTTGAGCTTCAATTTGTGTCTGATTGGAGTCTGATTGGACTGAAACAACTTGAGCTTCTGTAGTTTGTTCGACTTCGGCAGTTTCTTTTGGTTGAATTTGAGCTTCAATTTGTGTCTGATTGGAGTCTGATTGGACTGAAACAACTTGAGCTTCTGTAGTTTGTTCGACTTCGGCAGTTTCTTTTGGTTGAATTTGAGCTTCAATTTGTGTCTGATTGGAGTCTGATTGGACTGAAACCTGTGTAACCTCTTTGGACATACTAGTAAAGTATGAAGATATAAGTGTTTGACCTTTAAAGAGCTTTTGTAAAGAATTGTCAGTCATGCTACTACTGTGGTCTTCCATTAGACAAAAATGAACTGTTTTTTCGGACTACTCATAGAAAAGTTTAAAATAAACCGTTTTCGTCAACGGTAACCCCCTCTATTTTTTTATTTTATTGAAAAGTCTCCGTTGGCAAACCGTTCCATCTCAAATATTGAATGAACTATAAACGTTTTTTGTTTTCTATATATACTTTTTTGTCCAACGGTAAAACTTTTTACGCAACGTTTTTTGAGAGTCGTCGCCGTTGACTTTTTTGTAGAGCACTCAAAATAGTATAACTTTGTCCGGACAAGTAAGGGTCTATCGTCGCTACAGGAAAAGTTACAGGCGTTCCAAGGAAGTATACTTTGAGAAGCCTTTTCCCCTTATAGAATGAGATAGGACGGTTATTTTACAAAACTGACAACACTTTGACCGAGTAGTTTTTTGTGCTGAACAAAAAGTGTCATATAAACATCTGTCAAAAACCGCTTTTTAACTTCACTTAAATGCCACGTAAGCTACGTAAGAATATACGTAAGAGGAAGAGAGCATTGAAACATCCAATAGTAAAACTGACACCACAACAACAGTTGCAACAACAAATGCTGAATGACCCCACTATGTTGCAACAAATGTCAAGCAATCCTATGCTTTTAAACCGAGTTGTTGGTGCACAGAGTGGAGGTTTAAGAGCGGCACTTTTAGCGAAAATGGCAGGCTATGGTGGAGCTGCAGACGGAACAGCCTATAACCCTCAAAGTCAAATGAATTTGAGTTCACTCAAAAATCAAATAACAGATGTCAAAAAGTCAAACATAGACATACAGAAGCAAATAAGTGAAAACGAAAAGAAACTAGAATATGACAGACACACAAAGAAACTCAATGAGTTAAACGTAGAGAAAAAGAAGAAAGAAGAACAACTGAAAGAACTAAGTACAGAGGAATATGCGAAAAAAGTGTCAGAAAAAGCAGCAGAAGTAGCAAAAATGGAACAAGATGTCATAAATTTGAAAAACCATACTACTCAATATAAAATACTGAAAGATGAAGAGATAAAACAAAAAGCCCTGAAGACATATATGGATAGCGATGAGTATAAAAAAGAAGTTGAAGCAAATGTAAAGGCAGAAAAACTTTTACAGTTGCAAAACCAAACCGTACAGTATGAAAACTTAGCACAAGAAAGTAAAAATAACGACGCGGCTATGCAAAAGGCAATGAAAAGCGCAGAATATATAAAAGCTAATAATGACTGGTTAGATGCCCAAGCCAACGCTAAAGCAGCCCAGCTTATAGGGTCAATAAGGACAAAAATACAAGCGGATGAAGACAGTTCAAATGAAGCTTTAACAAATGCTGACTTTAAGAACGCCTTCGAAGCTCTTCATAGTAAGGTGAAACAAGTGAACGACTTCTCATCTGGAAAGAAACTGAAGTCTGAAGGTTTCGACAAAGAGTTAAAAGAAGTAGCACAAAATATGACGAAAATAACAGATGCAGCAACGAGACAGGCAGTTCAAAGTGCCTATGACGCCGTTAGAGCAACTGTTGTGGAAAGTCAAGAAAAAGAGTTACAACAGACCAAAACAGACCTAGTAAATGCTTTCTTAAGAACGAAAAGTCAGGTAGGACATTATGCTGCAGATGGAACATATGTGCCAGCTGGTGGAACTTATATACCACCAAACCCTCCAAGAGAAGCACCTGCACCAGGACTACCTAAAACATTTACATCGTCACATGGACACAGACACAGGCATGCACCAAAACCAGCACAACAACCACCTCCACAACCAGCACAACAACCAACACAACAACCAGCACAGCAACCAACAGTTCAAAACCCTGCACAACAACAACCACAAACAGAGCAAGGACATAAAAGAAGTAGAGAACAAGGAAACCAAGAATTCTTAAAAATGCTTAAAGAAGAGTGTGGTTTCCCAGATAGTATTGACTTTAGTGACAGATATAAAGAAGCTATTGGAAAGTTCAAGGATGGAAATACTGACCCGAACCTATTTAGCTTTATGGCTCAGCACCAAAACGGATATAATCTCAAACCTGGAAAATACAAGCTCGCTAAGGGATATGATTTAATAGCATATCATCCAAATGACATGGATGAATTTACTCCGAGATATTTGATGTCAGAGCTAAATGACAATTCAACTTTCGTCATGAAACGCGTAAAAAATAGAGACGGAACGAAAGAACAAAAGCTTATGAATGCGGATGACGTAGATAGGGAAATTGTTGAAAACGGTCTCGGAATATATGAAATGCCAGCAGATGAGGTACAAGAAACTCCACAGGAAGAAGTTCAGATACAACCAGACATGGAAGAAATAGTTCAGCAACAACAGCTAGAAGAGCCTGAAGGAAACGAACAAGTCCTTCCTTTGGAAACTAACTTCACAGAACTAGATGAAGATTTGGAACAGCCGAAAAATCTTGACCCTCAACAAGAGTATGCGGAGAATATGGAATATTTCCAAGAGTCTAAAAAAAATTCGGCTGACATAGTAGAAGAATATCGAAAAATGTTTGCCGACATACAAAAGACTCCAACATCAGATGAAAATATCCAGCATAGAATGGAAGAACTGAAAAAAAATGTACACAAATACAACAACCCTTTTTACTTACGAGCATTTAACGTTCAATCTTCGGATGAACTCGGTGAAAATAAAAGGTTAAATTTCAAGAAAACATATAGAAATGAAACATTGTTTAAAGTTCATTCAGAACCTAACCAAGATGGAAACAAACCTACTTTTGTTTCTGCAGACGATGGAACTACAATGAGATGGGGTCATAAAGCTAATCCGGATAGGTGGTTCATAAACTTACAACCACAATTCCAAGAAGTTGTAGACGCAATGGAAGTCAATGGTGAACGAGACATAGCTGGTATTTTAAGCGCGGCTTTAATGCCATTGAAAGATATGAAAGATGCAGATATTTTGGACCAGTATGAAATGAACATGGCTGATGGAAATATAACACCTGACGTTCTAGAACATTTATCTCAAAGAACTACACAGAACCATAAAGATGGTATATTTGGTGAAGAGTTTAGAAAGAAAGTTAGGGAGACAGAAGGAAGAGAACCTATTGTACATGACCTTGCAAACGAAAGTTTAAAAATGTCATAAAAACTTACTTTGCAGACAATGAACTGAGAAGGGATGAATATTTAAGAAAACTCAAATGGACAGTACCAAATGAAATGTTAGTATTGAAAAACATGTTCCTTGACAAAATAAAACCAACTACAGAAATAAACGACGCAAGACTGAAAGATTGGGTAAAAGCTTTCCCATTCACAAAAGATATAGTTGGTAACATGGAAAGAAAACCAGAATGGCTACAAAAACATATATTTGGAAACGAGCTTATTCCATATGGACAGGCACTGTTTGAAGCGCTTGAACCGGAAACTCAGGAAAGAGTCATGCAAACAATACGCAAAGACTCAAATACAAACTATGACAAACTCTTTCTAGGATATAGGTTACCTGAGATGGGCGACCAGAGCCCAAAGGCAAAAAGGACATGGGAAATTTACAACATACTAGGTGAACATGAGGCAAAGATGCAACAACTTGAAGCAGAGGGCAATGAAGGAAAAAGAAGAGTTAAAAACTCAGTCAGGAAGAAAGTAAAGCTTGGTCGGAGTGGGTTCTATTATGACATATAAATCCAACTATTCTATATTTTTACTCATATGAAATGTACGCCGCTCAGAATATAACGCCAACAGTTTTGGATGCCATGAATGGAAATGTTTCCGAATGGTATAACGAATGCGACAATGCCATTAGAAGGTCAGAAATAGTTCCTGGAACTTACGAATATACAACTGCTGTTTCTTATGGAAACGTAGGTGAGTTTGGAGAAGGTTCTTCAACAACAGTAGATATTGCTTGCGACAGGTTTCATATTATTTCTATTGACAACTCTTTCTTATACGTGGAACAAGACATTGAAATAAAACCTTCTGCCAAGTTGTCTGACAAGAAAGGTTGCAATGGAATTTTCTATGTCGGATACCAATATGCTCCAGAAGTTTTCATGGGATATAAGATATATTCTAACTCTGACTTAGTTCAAACAGTAACATGGGCAAACTATGAATGGTTCGCTTTGAGAAACTCAGTACAACCACAAGCTAGAGAACAAACAGACCAGTATGCAAATATTGAGAAAATAAGAAGACTTGACCCTAACGTTCCAGGAGTTTATGTTAACCTTTCTGGTTCAGATGGAACTGCTGCCACTAAAGTAAAACTGAAACTTAGAGTTCCTTTGTCATCTTTCCTCATCTTCAGGTTTTTAAGATACTTGCCAAACTGGGCAGGAAAAATTTCTATCGAACTTACTCCAAGCAAAAATAACTTAGTCATTGCACCAACACAAGACCCATTCAGCATTACTGTAGCTGGAACTGGTGGAGCCAAGTTCTGTGACTTTTGCAAAGACAAAGTTGACTTAGACTTTGGTTTCTCAAACTTCAACAATGAAGTAAACTATTATTTCAATGCTGCTGGAACTGCTTGGGACCCAGTTAAGTTCACATGCGAAAAGTTTGAATGCAAGAGAATAGAAAGCAGACTTGCAGTCTATATGTTGGACCCAGATATTTCAAATGCTTTAGCTGCCAAATATATTGCAGTTCCACTTATGTTCCCTATACACCAAATATCTGTCAAAGACTTTGCAGGTGAAGTTGGAAACCAAAGTGCTGACCCAGGTGCAAGAACAGATATTGCTTTAACAACTGCAATGAAACATGCAGATACTATGTTTAACTGTACTCGTTCACGAACTATAAATGACTATTCTTGTTTCTACAACCCGGTATTAAATATCATATAAACATAGATGGCAAATATTATCCAAGAGAAGAATATTCTACAGTTGAGGATATGAGGTCATACAACTTGACATTAGATGCTATGAACTTTAACAACAACTTCACAACAACCATTAACCCTGAAATGCAAAGTTCTATTATGCCATATGTGAAAGTATGGACTCATACAGGAGGTCAAAAAACTCAATATACAAATGGAGACCGTTCAAACTTTTGGCTTGGCATTCCATTTGCTGACTCAGAAGACTTTATGGGTGGTATTTCAACTGTTGGTACTGTACAAATACAATATACTGGTGACAGAGACGGTCCAGATGAATTGAAAGCAAAGAAGTTTACAAAACCAATAGCACTTTTCACGGAAGATGCTTTTTGAAGATTCGTTCGATGAAACCTGCTGGGGCTCCTCAGATTGGCATAACGACAGCTTCCATCGAGCAGATTTTGGCAGCAGGTCAGTAAGTTGTTCTTGAACTGACTTCTCTCCGTCAAATATTGACAGTACGCCAGTTTTGACATAATATTGTATTATAAACTTACCTTTAGAAATATCTGTAAGTTTTGTTGTTATATTTTTGTCGTCAAGAACTTTCACCATTTCAGTTATACCAACTTTCTTTGCTTTATGAAAATATTTTGGTTCAGCAAAGACTGCTATTCTATAACATTTTCCATTGTTTGTATAAAGAACTATTCTGTCAATGTATTTGTATTGTTTGTGTGTGTAAACTTTGTTCTGCTTCAATTCGAAGAGATACTCAAATACGTCCATCTTTTTATTCTAAGTAAAATGTCATTTCCGAAAAATAGAAGCGTAAGTGTTTCAAAAGGTTTAATGGCGGTGGCAGATGTGAAGTTAAATTCACCAACTCAAACAAACAGTCAAAGTGTTGTTGTCAATGTCAAAGAAAGAGATGTTGAAGTGGGGAAACCATACGAAGACGAAGATGGTATAACAATAGTTCCTGTAAAAGAACAACCAACATATCCTGAAGTTAGCAGAGACTTAAGTTCTGTTGCAGATATTCGAAACGACTACCAACAACTTAAAGACAAACTTAAAACTCAGGAGAAGATTTGTCAAGCTTTAGGTATAATGTTAAACTTGGTCGAACACAACCCTGTAAAAGTGAACTCATATGTCATTGCACCTCATGAAGTTTTGAAAGAACTATTGAAACTTTTGACAGAGGCAGACGATATAAACATCAAAGAAATAGAACCCGACATTAGTTGCTGTGGTGTTTCATATAATGTCATTGACAAGATATACGTTATGAAAGGAGGTGAAACGTTGAACTTAAATATAGTTTCCCAGACGTCATAAAAATATTTGACGACCACAACATTTCATTAAAATTTATTTGCTAAGTAAATGGCAGAAGACATAGTGGTTTATACTATTACGACTAAAAACCCTGAGTCATATAATTCTATAACAACAAACTTACAAAGTCCTCAAGGACGATATTGTAAACTGACCTTAAACACGATGACGACTAAAGCCTGTTTTGCTCTTTTGACACCAGAAGATTTTATTGTTGTGAATGGTAAAAAATACTCTTTGAAGATACTTACTCAGATATACCACCAACAGGTTTTGTTGACTTATTTAATACTTTAAGGACGGATGTAACATGTGCTGCAACTAGAGCAGGTTTCATTATGTTTGGATGTCCGACTGAGTTTAGTATAAACGATATGAGCTATAATACAAAACTTATATCTGGTTTTTACTACCAACAGTTTCCTATAACAGGAAAAGGTGTCATACAAGGTGTCTATTCCATTGACTTTAAGTACACCTATTTTATATATTGTTTCAAACTTAGGTTCAAAGTGCTATTCGAATGTCGACAGAAACTACTATGACCAAAAGATACTCATGCGTATAAACAACACTTTCTCTGCTGGTTTGCCTATTGTTCATTCGAATGCAGAGTTTTCAGCTTTAGTGAACTCAAACACTTTAGCAAACATAAACTTAACCTTAGTTGACGCAAACTTTGTTCCTGTAAAACTTTTATGTCCTATGTATTTGTCAATGACGGCAGAAAGTTTCGAATTGGAAGATGCAACTGGTGAAAGTATTGTATTACAAGAACAACTTCAACAACAAATAGCTCAAGAACAACAAATGCAACAAATAGCTCAAGAATAAAAAAAATATTTTTTTTATTTTTATAAAAATGTACAGAATAGATGTTTCAGATTTTTATGACTTCCAAGCATTCAGAAATATGTGTCCATTTCGAGACTATAACAAAGCAGTCGAGAATTTGAAACGTTTAGTCATTTATGTTGACTCTGCCCCAGAATGTTATGTTATGAAAGAATGGGATGTTGTCTTTAACAAACCAAGAGCAACAATAGTGTCTGAACAGGAATGTAGACAGAAACTTAAGAAAATAAAAGTTGTACAAGTTGGAATGAAGATGTTAGATGCTTGGGATATCTTATTGTCAAAGTTAGAAGATTTTTCAGTTCGTGGTATAAAGTTTTATACACCTTCTCCAAACTTCTATTCTATCTTCACTGGATATAAATACGAACAAGTAGAATGGAAAGAAAATATTATAGAAGCTTGGTTAGACCATGTCAAAGAAATTATATGCAATGGAAACGAAAGAGTCTATGAGTATATCTTATGTTGGTTTGCAAACATCTTACAACATCCAAGTGCTAAAAATGAAACTGCTCTCATTATAATTGGAAAACAAGGAACTGGTAAGAACACATTCTTTACAGATATTTTGTGCAAACTGTTAGAGGGCTATTCGAACCCGAATATGACAAACATAGAAAACATCTGCGGTAAATTTAACTCCTCAATTGAGAATATGAAACTTATAGTTTGCAATGAACTTCAAAGTATAGATACAACAAAAATTTTGAACTCAGATGCTTTGAAGAGTCTTATAACAGACAAAGTTGGAGTTGTTGAAAGAAAATATAAAGACCAAAGAGTTTGTGAAAATGTTGCAAACTTCATTATGGTTTCAAACAATGCTGTTCCGATGAAGTTAGAAAGTTCTGACAGAAGATATGTAGTTGTCAGAACGTCAGATTCTCATATGCAAGATACAGAATATTTTGACGACTTAGCAGAAACTTTGACATCTGACTTTTACAACCACTTGTTCTCATATTTCATGACATTAGATATTTCAAAGTTCAATCCAAGACAAATTCCACATACCGAAGAGAGACAAACATTGTTAGAAGCAAACAAGAGTGTTTATGAACTGTTTATAGATGAGACTAACTTTGAGTGTTTAGATGAAAGGTCATTGTACGATGAATATAAACAATATTGTCAAGAATATGGTTATATGGCAGCTTCTAAACGAACATTCTTGGCAAATGTCAAAAGTCTTTTAGATGTTCAGAACGGCGTATATACAAAGAAAAATTTTTCTGAGTAAATTTTAAAAAAATATTTTTTTATCCGATAGAAAAGATGGCAAAATTCATCTCAGTAAACAAGTACATGTCAGGACTTAAAGAAGAACTAGACCCATTCGCTTATTTGAATGTTTACTTCTACCATTTTGAAAAGTCTACATTTGACAAAGTTTGGAACATCGAACCAGTTAAGTTTGCTATTGTGACTAAAAATGGTGCGAAATTTGAAGACTTAGACATAGAAGGTTTGTTAACAGTCAAAGAAAGTTTTGACAGAAGTTTTCAAAACCTTAAAGAAGGCAAAGCATACAAACTTGTTATACCTTATGAACCAAAGAAAGCAGACGACTATGAATATTATGAGTCTAAGATAGTTGAAGTTCAAGGTAAATTGGGTAAAAAGATTTTAGAGTCTAAGCCAGTGTTTGCTCCTAAAGAGGAAGAGAACATTGACATTGACCCAGAAATGTTCTAAAAATAAAATTTTATTTTTACATGTCAAATTTCTTTTTCTCTGGAACTGGCTCTGGTTCTTTCTTCTCTTCTTCTACTTTCTTTTCTTTCTTCTCTTCTTTCTTCTTCTTCTCTGGTGGAGTTATGTCAAATTTCGAACCATATTTATGTAAAAGTTCTTTGTCCTTTAATAGCTCTCTATTCTGTTTTCTATTTCATCTTCAAGAACAGCGCATGTGTCTTCTTTGCATTCTAAGAACTTTTGTTGGACTTCATCTTTCCAATCGGCGTCATCTCTGTCAACAAGTCTGTCATTGACAAATTTTAAGACTGCTCTGCTTAATGTTTTATGGTTCTTGTCATATTCCCAGAAACAGAACTTTAGAACAAATTCACCTTTCTTGTTTACACTATGTAAGATTTTATGGTCGACAGATGTTTTGCTGTCAAAAAAGTTTGTCTCGAATATAGATAGCGAAATCGCTAGACATTTTCAAAAGATAAAAATTTTAATTTTTCTAAAAATATGTTAGAAAAAAAGTTTGCTGACATTGACAAGAAATTTGAGAATGTTTTAAATAAGAACAAGAGGAAGTTAGGAAAATGCTCAGATAAAGCCTATACATGACAAGTTCTTATTTGCTCAGAATGGTATAACACAGGTCTAATGCACCACCTGGGTCGGGTAAGACTTTCACTTATCTTAAAATGGCTGCACAACAACAAGAACTAGATGAGAAGAACCCATTCTATGAGTTAGTTGTTATTTGTAGTACTTCTGGTCAATTTGACCAAACCGTCAATTCGTTCAAAGATATTATAAAAAAGTCTAAGTTAGTATGTATAAAAGACTCTGAGTTGTTAGATTGGATAAAGAAGTACCAAAGAAGAGTTTTGAAGTACAATGCTATATAATGAGTATATAAATTCTAAGTTTAAAGACCCAAATGAGGAAATGCAGAGAATATTAGAGAAGAAACACTTCAGAAACAAACAGAAAGAGATAGAATACATTTCGAAGAAATTGGCAATCTTACGATTGGAAGACTTACCCTCACAGATGTCTTCTTATCTTAGATGACTTTGCTTCTCATCCTTTGTTAAAGAATAGAGAACAAGAATGTGTCGAATTCTTAAGAAGCTCAGACACTTTAACATCTCAGTTGTCATTTGTGTACAGACAGCAAAGAGTTTAAGTAAAGATTAAAGAGAATACTTAGATGACATAATTTTTGGATTGTCCGAAGACGATTTCATGGAACTTATGAAAGAGTCCATGGCAGGTAAGTTTGACAGACATGAACTATGGGAGAAGTATAAAGTCATACAAGACCCTCATACTTCTTTCAGAATTCATATCTACGCAAACAAAGTTCAAATTGTAAAAAGTCAAGCTTGAAAAATAAAGAGTTTTGGCGACCCCGAAAGAAGTCAGTCTAGAGAAATTTCACTGTTTTTGTTGCTGAATTCAATAAAAATATATTTTAGGTGAAGAGGTGAGATTTCACCTCTTTTTTCACCTGTTTTTTCACCCCAGTTATTTTTTAAATTTTGTGAAAACTCAACGGTTTGACACAAGCCCTAAAAATTATTTTACTCAGAATTTTGTTGCTGAATTCAGCAAAAAATAATGTTTAGGTGAAGAGGTGAGATTTCACCTGTTTTTTCACCTCTTTTCTCACCTGTTATTTTATAAGCGTTTTACATGAATTGTACGATGTATATTTGAAATCCTAAACAGTTTTGTAGCTTCTATTTCTTCTGTCAGTACATCGAATGTTTTAACGATACCGAAAGTTTCTTTATACTTCTTCTTGACGTCAGATAATAGGAAATCTTCTGCTGTTGGATAGTTTTTGTTCAGAAATTCTAACATGTCCATTTTATCTTCTGCTGGTTTTTCTGCTTCTTTCTTTAAGTCTGCATAGTCGTTTCGCATACGTTCTATCTCTTTGACTGAGTAGTTATATTTCCTCATTGCTGCTTTACATTTAGAACATTGTGGGTTCATTTTTGCGTTATATTCTGAAACCTTACCTGCTAAAACAACCAAGGCGTCAATTGCTCTCTTCATCTCAAACATAGCGGGTCTTATCTGTTCATTCCATACCTTACCCCTACTATCTTTATCTCTTATTTCCCATACACATTTTGCAACTAATGAAACAAAGTTGTCGTAGGTCTTAAATTCTTCAGATTTGTAAAGGTCAGAGATGTTCTTATATAACATGTCGCAATCTTTGTCCATAACCTTATGGTTGCAATGAAAACCAAGGAATTCATAATTTACCTTTCGTATGAACTTCTTTATTTCTACTGAGTCAGTTGGTTTCACTTCAATTTCGTCAAATTCGGGAATAGTGAGTTTTTGTTGCTGAATTTCAGGCAATTTGGGTAAATGGTCAATAATGTCCTGCATTTCATAAAGATACTGTTCATTTGTTTCATCCTGTGCGGTACAGTCTAAATTACATGTTAACAATTCCTGCTTTATCTTCTGGATTTTTGTTTCGAAAGTATATGAAGAAGGAATGAAGTTTTTCATCTCTACCAACATAGATGTTGGATTCATGACTAGCGAGTTTGGTGCTGTAGTTGTTTGTATTGCTGTTGTGCCGATTGTTGAAATCATATTTTTTATACAAAATAAAAAAAATAAATAAAATAAAAAATAAAACTAACTTTATTTTTTATTTCGGGAAAATTCATGAGGTGAAAAAACAGGTGAAAAAAGAGGTGAAATCTCACCTCTTCACCTAAACATTATTTTTGGGTCATTTACGCTCATTACGATGAAGTTTCGACAAAACATTTACGATGAAATCATGAAAATTCATGAGGTGAAAAAACAGGTGAAAAAAGAGGTGAAATCTCACCTCTTCACCTAAACATTATTTTTGGTGTAAATTTATGACAAAATTCAAATTGTAAAAAGTCAAGCTTGAAAAATCTAAGTGTTTAGTCTTAGTAAGATGGTAGCTTCTTAAAGCAAATACCATTGCTGAGTTTTATGTACGTGAAGAGAAGTACAATGAATTCAATTACGAGTACAATTGCAATGACAACTAAGGCAACTATTTTTGTCTTTTGCCAGCAAGGGTACTTCTTCTCTTCCAATGGTTCGGCAGAACTATACTCACTCATGAGAAATGCCAAAACGGTTTAATAGAAAAAGTGTCATTTTTTCATGTCCGAAGACTCGAAGGTGCAACACTTCCAAAATACCGACGAACTCAGAAGAGCAGCATGGCAGTATCTTCTTGACAACTTCTTTGAGTTCTCCAGGTACACCTTGGAAAATGCTGAAGAACTCCGACACAGAGAATTTGGAGAAATTGCACTCCAATACTACCTTGACAAACAAAGGGTAAACAAAGGGTAAATTAAGACTAAAAACTTAACGTTTAAAAAGTGACATTTTTATGAGCTCCGAGTCACCGAGAAAACTTGGTCAGATGTTAGCAGCTTACTTCCCCGAGGAGGATGGAAGCGTTACATACATCAGGTTCAAAAACAACGAACCTGGAATTGCGTACCAAATTCGCAATTACATGACCATGGAAGAGTACGAAAGGTTCCTACAAGAGAAACCAGCTCTAAACAACTCAGAAAAGAAAGAATAAAAAGTTTAACTCGTAATTGTTTATTTTTTTACTTGTATGGGCAAGCTGCAAGAATGAAGTCGACTATCTCAGTCTTTGTCTTGACCAGTTGGACTGCTCTTGCGAGTACGTCTGTTTTGCGGTCTCCAGCTGGTGTCTGACCTTCGTAATTGCGCATGTTCTTGAGAGCTCCAACTGTAAATGGTTGTAGGATGAAGAGTCTCTCAGACTGCTTGAGGTAGTCTTCACGGTCACGAACCGAATCTGTGGTACGAGTCGAATCGGTCGATTTGAGGGAAGAGACTGAAAGCCTGTCGTCTTCCATCGGGGCTGTGGCATAATCTTTGCGTAAACGGTTCAGACCTTCTTCGAACTCTTGGTCTCTCTTCGATTGGGATTGAGATTGGAATTGCTGGGGTGGAGCTTGCTGGAACATCCAAGGGTTGGGGAAGTAAGGCATAGGCTGAGGAGGGTAGTTCGGGAAGCCTTGTGGTAGGTAGTAACCTTGAGGTGGAAATTGGTAGTAAATCGGAGGTACTTGCTGGAACTGAGGTTGCTGAGGTGCAGGGGCTGGTGCTTTAGGTTCCTCTGGTTTGGGAATGGGCTCGGTTGGTGGTACGTCGGACATCTGTTTGTGGCTTAACCGTCGGAAGGAAAAACCTTTCCTGTCGGAAGGAAAAACCTTTCCTGTCGGACATCCGTTTGTGTCCTGTCGGAAGGAAGAACTTTTCCTGTCGGAAGGAAAAACCTTTCCTGTCGGAAGGAAAAACCTTTCCTGTCGGAAGGAAAAACTTTTTCTGAAGTTCGACCAAAAGTTCTCAATTTTCGAAAATTTGAATGGTTTACGGACGGACAACTGGAAGAGTCCTTCCTGTCGTCGGGAAAATTTTTTCCAGTTGTCCGGAAAATTTTTTCCAGTTGTCGGGAAAATATTTTCCTGTCGGATGGAAGGACTCGGAATACCAGAAGGATTTGACGAGGCAATTTACCTTATAGAGATAAATGAAGTTGTTAAGCAGTACTTGCGCAGGGTAATGAAGCCCAAGGTCAAGTTCACCAGTATTTCTGGAAGGTCTACACTTCAGCTCGAGACTTCGACTGGAATTCCAATTCAAATACCAGACGGGACAGCCTACGACGACATAAAGGACGCCAAAAGAGAAGCTCTTGTTAAGTTCCTAAACAAACGTCCTTGGATAAAAATACCAAACAAGGAGAACCCCCTACCCCATATGAAATTGGCAATTCAGTCTCTCCTTCACTTCTCGGGTCAGCCGTTCTACATAACCTGTGAAGGCGACATCCAACCAGTTCAGTCAACCTTAACGTTTTGAGTAAAAACATTTTTTTCATTTTTTGAATGAAGCAAGTTAAATTCGTCCCACACCAATCTCAATGGACCGATGAAGAGTTTCAAGCCATGGTTGAAGGCGTTGAGAACGACATAGACGGCGAACTTGAAGGAGCTCAAACCACAATTGCAACCAAAATTGCAGAAGTCAAGGAACAAATAGCTCCACTTAAAGCTACCAAAGCTACTCTTGACCTCATGGATACTTACCGTTTAGAAGTAAAGAGTGGAATAAGACAATTAAAATTAAAACTTCTAAACTACGAAGCTATACTCCAAAAGTTAGCAGAAATGAGAAGACTTTACCAGAGCTACTTACATGTAAGGGACTTACCTTCATGCAGTCCGACCAAAGATGAATTTTCTGACATTGTCCCAATTTTGTCCGAAAGTCAGCTCAGATGTTTTGAACTGCTCCCAACATATCCAGAATATGAACGTTTGCCTGAACTCTTCCGCAATCTCAAAAAACGTTTTTTGGTTCTCATGTTCGAAACTTTTATCGGAAGAGACAACAAACGTTCAGAAGAAGAACAAGATATTATTTTAAACTTGTTGTATGACATAACTGTCATAACAAGCTTTTTGAAGTAAAACCGCCATTCTCAAACCACTTCATTTTTTCGATGTCCGAACAAGCACCGAAGCCGAACACAATGGCAGATGTCCTTTCAATGTTGCCAGACAAGCGCCCAGTTCAAATTCAAATTTTGAATTTGAAAGCTCATCTGACAAACACCGTTAAGACTCTCCAAAGTAGTCTTATGGAAGAGATGAAGGGACTTAAAGGTGAGTTCCTCATGAACCAAGCTTCCAATGAGAAAGTCCTGAACGATTTGACGGAAACCTTGCGCATTTACGCGAGAGAGAACCGAGACCTTGCCAGACTCATCTACCGTTTCTTCGAAGAGATAGACGCCATCTGGAAGGTACTCGGAAAGGACAGAACATGCAACACCGTACTTCGTGAGTACCAAATTGAAGAAGGAATTGTCGAGGAAGAAGAGGAAGAAAAGAAACACGAAGAAGAAGAGGAAGAAGATGAAGAAGAGAAACACGAAGAAGAGGAAGTTTGGGCAACCCTTGTTGCCGATGACGCTTACGAAATTTCCCAACCCTACCCATACCAAATCCGCAACAAGGAGACAGGCAAGGTTCTTACCCCAGTCCTCAACAACTTGGGACACTTGAACCTTAACCTTCGGAATCGCGGTTCAATCTCCATGGGCAAGCTTGTCGCAATTCAATGGGTTCCAAATCCAGACAAGAAGACGAGGGTCAGACACATTGACGGTGACAAGCTCAACAACCGTAAGGAGAACCTCGAGTGGTTCTAAGAGTAAAAAAATTTTATTTTAGGGGGAAACCCCAAGTAAATTTAAGTTTTTATTTAGATAAGTAGCTTAAATTACGGATAATTTGGATAAGTAGTTCCTGACCTCTGAATTGAACTCTTTCGTCATCCCAGTTGCGTAGGAGGTCGTCCCAGAGGAGTTGGTAGAATTGCCAATCCAAGGACGATTTGTCCTCCCAGGCATTGAGGATGTACTGCTCGTAGAGTCTCATGACCTCTGCCTTGCACCAGACACCCTCTCCCTTGGAACGTAAGGCTTCTTCGAAGTGCTCGAATGCGATTGGCTGCTTGACCATCTGAAATGACACTTTTTGTCCGTTTGGTCAATGTTTGTGTCTCGTGCCATAGTCGACGAAAATACAGACAAACAGGTTATATATGAGTTTGAGACCAAGAATTCCCACATTTTAATTCAAATTCGAATAAAAATTTTTTACTTCATGCAATGTTTTATTTCTGTGCCGTCTTCAAGTATGCCCCAGTACTTACGCTTGGAGAGGACATGAACTTCGGTGAAAATTTTGTCCAATTTGAATTGACCCATCTTTTCACCGACCATTCCCATTTCAATGAGTTTGTTGTATCCTTCTTCGTTCGTCATGAGTGCGTCAATGTTCTCATAGTAAACCTTCACTTTGGATTTGACTTCGGAGAAGAATTTGTTGTAGTTGTCAAGGACTGCCTTTGCGAACTGAGGGTAAGACCAATGTTCGACAATAGGTTTTAATGTGGTTACTAAGCCACTTTGACCTTGAGTGAATTCGTACTTCAAAACAAAAGGAGAAAACCTTTCAACAAAGTTGTCGACCTTCTCATAATGTTTACTCTTCATCTCTTGAGGTTTCTTAATGGAATATCCCCATGTCGAATTCATAAGCAATTTCAGTGTCATTGCGAGTTTGGGGTTTGAAGCTTTCCTAATATCATAGAGTTGTTGTATGACTTTTCCAACTGTATAGTTCCTTCCTGGGAACTCTCCATCTTCGTTTGGAATTCCAGTCGGGATATATTGGACGAACCTCATGTATGCAGCGTTAAGGTCGACATAGTATATTTTTTCGTATGAGTCGAACTTGTCGCATCCAATCGGACCAGTTCGTGGAAATTCAAGCGAGTCTCTTATCTTCTGAGAAACCTCGCCTGTTATCTCATAAACATCGTCAAAGCAACCTGTTTCATATAAAACCTTCTGACCTAACTCAGATGCTCTCCAATACAATTTGACGTCGATTGGATGTCTCAATGGAAGTTTGTTTATAGCATCTTGAAGTTCTTGCAACCTCATTGGAAGTTCTTCTGGTTCAGGTTGGTATCCGAACAATCCAACTCCTTTTGGAGCTGTGTACTTCTTTTGTGCTAGAACTTTGTCTGGAACAACTTTTGGTCTTGCTAACAATGAAAAGTTTGTTTCGTCTTTTGGTACAAAAGTTTCTGTCAGCTTGTCATCTGGAATTGGTTCCAACAAAGCCTTTCTCGAAAAGAATGTTTACAGCTCTGACAATGTTGCACTTGCCTTTTCCGAACAATGGGTTTGTAAGACTTTCGTTCAACATGAAGTGGTTGTGGACAATTGCAATCTTCAACCATGGTAAATTGAACTCAACAACATAGTCGTCATGTGAAGAACCTTTAGCTGTAGGTATGTTGACTCGATATTGACATTTGCCAACGGTGCAATTTTTGCCAATTGACCTCTGAGAATGTACCTTGTCTTCACACATGACTCAAGATACTTCATCTTCTCATCTGTAACAAGACCAGAGTTCCTGAGACATGTAAGAATGCAAGGTTCATTGACAATTGTTTCAATTGAATTGTAAATTCCATACCTTGTCAAGTCAATGTCAGACTTATTTATGAACGGGAAGTATCCAGCATGTTGTCTGACTGCTTGCGGGTTAGGTTGGTACCATTCAAACTTCACGCTTGCAATTCCTTCAATTGCATTCAAAATGTCTGAGTCGGAGTCAAACATTTGTTCTCTCTTTGTAGTCTTGAAAGCGTCAAGAAGTTGTGCGGCTGTTGTGACATTGCCATGTGCATAGTAAATGTGACCGTCCAAATCTGTTATGGTTAGTCTGAGATTGTATCCTTTCTTATTTCCGTCTTGTATGGCAGCAAGTACACCCATGAAGCCTTCTTTGTTCTTTCCTTCGTCAAAGTTTACTGTAAAGGTTCGACCAGATGTAATTTGACTTCTAACTTCACGATACTTTTCATATGCATATCTTGTTCTTTCCATGGGAGCATGTGCGTCTTCACCTTTTCCTTTTTTCCTTCTCAAAGGATGCAATTGTTCGTCATGTTTCCAGTAGAATCTGGCAAAGCCGTCGTGTCCTTCAACTTGAGGTTCACTAACATCGAAAGGCATGTCCATAAGACGTTCTTCTTCTAACCTCTCTAGTCTGTTTGGATAATTTGCACGTGCTGTTTCTAAGTCCATTTCGTAGCGAAGACCAGACAATTTGTCATAGACTTTTATGGGTCTTCCCTTCCTATATTTAAAATTCTTCGAAACTCTCCAACCATATCTTTGCAACTCTGCTTTTATTCTAGCAGATTTTCTATCCATTCTATATGGGGGCATTTTTATAAAAATAAAAAAATATTTTTTTCTTTACTTTACATAACCGCCTGCTGCCATAAGTCTTTGACGCCAACCCATACCAGCTAATGAAGGTTGACTTGGTTTAGTTTGGAAACTAAACTTTGTTTTTGGTTTATCTTCAGTTTTTGGTTTTTCTTCTTCTATCGTTTTTCGTCACTTTTCGGTTCCTCTGACTTTACCTCACTTGCAGGTATGGTTGTGTCGTCAACATCTTCGTAAATATCATATGCCATTTGTTTTTGTTTTCCTTTCAACTTTTTGTGTTTGTTGTAAAGTTTAGAATATTTCGACTCTAAGTCAATGAGATGTTCTATAATGAACTGTTGGTCGTGAAGTAAACTTTTCCATCTGTTGTCTCGAAAGCTCCTTCAGACTTCAATATTTTATTTGTGAGAGTCTGTTTCTTTTTTGAGATACTAGCCGTTCCATTTCTATGAAAAGTGACTTGTAGTTAGGGTTTGTATTTCCAGACCTGGCACTTTCTATTATTGAATTTTTCTCTTCATCTGTAAGTTCTTTGACAGGTTTTGACAATGGTTCTGAACTTTTGTTTGTGTGTCAAATCTACCGTTTCAACTTCTTCGGTCATTTCATCTCAGTAAAAAAATTTTAGTTTGGTTTGTTTTCAACTGGTTGTTTAGGTTTTTTAAGTCGGTCTAAAACTTCCTGAGGTATAGGAAGAACTTGACAAACACGTGGTGTGTAACTGCTGGAAGCCGACAAATCCATCTTGAACCCATTTGTCTCAATGCTGTATTGTTCATTTCATCTCAGTAAAAAATTTTACATTCCCCAAGTTTTGAGGTGGTTGCGGTTGGTTATTGTTTACCCACTGTTGTGCATGGTTATATCCTCTGTTAAAGAATCTTTCACCTTGGTCCATATAGTGTCCTGCTTGGTTATAGTAGTCATTTGCTTTGTTATAATAGTTTCCTGCTTGTCTTCCTACATTGTCCATCCATCCTTGAACTTTTCCTCTTGTTTCAGGATTTGGAATAAGATTTGCTGCATCTCGTGCTACATCCCAACCTTTCTGTACAGTTTGTATAATAGGTTGTGCTTTCTCTTTAAGTATACCTAATGTACTCAAAATCTTCCTTCCAATTCCAAATGCACCTCTGGCTATTGTTCCCACTGCGGGCAAAAATCTGGATGCAACTCCTGCTAATGCGCCAAATAAACCCATTTCTTATGGGTTAAAAAATGACGAATCCAAACAAGGACCCCTATGTTTCTAAAGCGACAAAGAAAGCACTCATGGTAAAAATCTTTAGTTCAACACCAAATGCTTGGTTTATGGATATCTTGGAAAACATTCCGAGGTATAGAGAAGATGGACCACCATACTGGCTAATATTTGTCGGTCAAAACACAAGATACTGTGAAGCCATACCATTACAGTCCAAAGCTATTTTAGATATCTTAGCAGCTTTGACAATATTCGTTGACAAATACCATCCAACAAAACTGACATCTGACTGTGAAAGTTCTTTCAAATCAGATGATGTAAAAAACTATCTGCGTTCAAAAAATGTAAACCAATATTTCATTGTCGACCAAAACCATTCTGCTCTTGGTGTCATTGACGGATGTATAAAAATGTTAAGAGACTTAAACCAACCACAAGGTGGTGAAGCAAATGAAATGTCATATGACGACAAATATAGACACTTCTCCATGGCAAAGATGAGACAAGTTTTAAATATTTACAATAGCCGTAAACAAAAAGGTTTGGGAAACCACTCCCCGAAGAAATGAAAAACAACCCTGACTTAGAGAAAGACTATATATTTAATAATTTAGTCAAAAGAGACAAACAAGAAAGAATGCCGGGCTTCAAACTTCAGAAAGGTGACAAAGTAAAAATAGAAATACCTAAACGCGACCCATATGAAAATACTATTGACTATGACAACAATGGGAACTCGACAGGTACTCACATTCGTGTTCGTAAAAATAGAAGAAAGTATACAAGAGAATATTATGAAGTTTTAGGCAAACATGGCAAAATGTACACACTGCAAGCAGAAGATAAAACTACTATTGTCAGACCTCGTTTCAAACTTGTCAAAGTTCAAGGTGGTATACTTTCAAAGACAGTTCCTAACAAATATAAGACAACTCCTGACGAATATGCTAAAGAAGTTGAAAATGACGACTAAGCATTTCTATACCATGCGTAAACTGTCATGTAAGGTGGCATGTATTCTTTACTTTGTCCCGTTGTTTGCGTATATCCTGAAACGCGATGTGTATGGATTCCTCCTCCCTCAGTGTTATTCCAGTAACAATTTATAGCAAACTTAACGTCCTCTTTAACATCATATCCTTTACCTTTTGTCATTCCTGACCAATCCCAAAATCTATGACTATGCAAACCTGCTTGAGATGTACTTAAATCTATGTAGTGACTGTGTGCAGGTAAATTTGCACCTGAAATCGTTTTACTTCCACCTGTTTCCTTTGAAGAGTTTGCACAATACAAAAACCTGTCGACTATTTGAGTCCAAGTTCCAAAACCCAGAACTGTTTCTGGTCTGGTAGAGTTCATTGACGTATAAATAGAGCCTATAGGATATAGTGTTTGAAGTATTTCTGTCTTTAACGTTTGAAGCTCTGTTTTGTCAGCTTTTTTATCTAACTCATCGTTAACATATGTTTTGTCAGCTTTTTTATCTAACTCATCGTTAACATATGTTTTGTCAGCTTTCTTATCATATAAATCTTGAGCAGTGAATTTAACATTGTTTTCATCCTCCATGACATAGACATTTCTACATCTAGTGTATTTCATCGTCGTTATGTCTTCATCCGATGTTAAACCTTGTGGAAAGTTAGGAGGTTTCCAATTTAATACATCCCACCAGTTCCATCAGGTTCTTCAACCGTTCCTGCAATATTTTCTATACCAACAGTTGCGAAGAAATCGTGTGTATGTCCAACGTCACTTTTCTTGTTTAAGGTTTCTTGTAAGTTTGTAATATTTGCAATGGTATGTGTATGAGTCTTTTTAGAATATTCGTTTTCAGCTCTTGTCACTTCACTTGACATTTTATTGTCAACATATGTTTTGTCTGCTAGTTCAGGATGAGTATGTTCTTTCGTTGCATATGTTGCATCTGCTCTGTCATGTTCTTCTTGAACTTTTTCAATGACATACTCTTTGTCAGCTTTGTTGTCAACATCTGCTTTCAAAAGAAGTTCTTTTATAGGTTTCTCGTTTAAAGTTCCTTTTGTTGGATTTATACAAACAGTATGGTTCTTACTGTCTTGAAACAGAAACTCGTCTGTCAATGGGTTTATCGTCAGTTTTAAGTTTCCTTCTTTCAATGACTCAGATATCTTAGAATAGTTTGAAAAGTTTGTTGTGTTCTTATTTAGAGCTTGCACAATGAGTTGTCGGTTGTGTTGTATTTCTCTCATAGACGCTGTTTCTTTCGACATTTTTATTCTAGATAAAATATGCTTTCAATAGAAAAAGAAAATTCAAGAGTTGCTACAACTAAACCATTAGATGAACTTTTTACTAATGTCGGTCAAAAGTTTGAGACAGAGACCGTAAAGCATGAAGGCTATCGTTTTGACTACCCATTAAGATGGCTAAGAGACCCATCTGTCACAAAAGCTATTGGCTTTCGTAGAATGAAGTTTGTGTCTGTAGAAGATAAAAGTTTTCCATTTATTGTAAGGTTTCATATAGATTATATATCTGAAGGGAAACGAAAAATGTGGGAAGAAATTGAGCTAATACAAGTTGACCTTTCATCTTCTCTACAGACTGCGTTAAAAAATATAGAAGATAAAATAAATTCATGTTATGCAAAATATGCTGATGAATATGCAAATACCGAGAGCACACTTTATGTGAGAATTGTATATGACAAACAAAATTCACAAGTGTCATTTCAAATCTACGAAGACAATCCAAAGAAAGACGAACAAATATATACAGAATTCACTGCAATGTCATGGTATTATTTGCAAAGAATGTTAAATCAGAAAGTCGAACTTCCTTTAGCAAATATTTACAGTCGATATGCAAGAGATGAACCATATTTATTTAAAGATGTTTTCGACCCAGCTGCTATTATTGTTCATGCTTCATTTTCTGGCGCCCAAAACTCTTTCTTATGCTTGGCAAATGATTTTTACGAAAAACCTACAAAGTTATACGAACCACCAAGTGGAAGTATTTCAGACTTTCAAGTATGGTTTACTACAGATGGAAGAAAAAGAATAATTCCATTATACCATGCGTTTTACTTAGAACTTAGTTTCATATACAACTACTATCGAACGGTAAAAATATAATTTTTTAATACGGTTGAGGTGTTGGATTTGGTTGCCAACTAGACTGTGGTGCAGGTTCAGGCTGTTGTATAACAGGAGCTTGTTCTTCTGGTTCAGGGTCTTTAGGTATAATACCAACAAACTGACCTACTCTTTTACCAATATTTTTGACTCCGTTCCAAATTCCTCTTCCTACGGTTTTTATTCCATTCCATATACCTCTTCCAACATTTCGAAAGAAGTTTCCTATCTTACTGAAGAAACCCATTTTACTATATGTAAAAATTAATGTCCACCTAGTCTCTTACGTTTCCTGTTGAGTTCCATAGCATTCTTTAACTGGAGCTCATACATTCTGTTTCTCCTCTGGTAGAAAACATATTCTGGGTCAACTCCTGTGTTCGCGTCATCTGCATAAAGTTGTTTATATCCCACTTCAGGGTTTGTATAAAACTCTTTCCATCTCATATTTGCATACCATGGTGGCAAACCTAACGCAGCGTCATTTGACATGGCAGTTTGCATTTGTACATCTGTTGGCACTTGACCATAGTTTGCCATTGCAGTTTGTATTCTAACTTCATTTGGAATATTCTCTGGGTTTGGTTGTCCAGGTTGCTGTGCATTCGCTAAGTTCTGTGCGTCCATTTAATATTAGATAAAAATATCTCTTACGAGTACATATACTGAACATTTGCAGGCATTGGTTCATCTTCATATTCTCTGTACTTTTCTGCCACGTCAAATAAATAAATGACACAATGGAAAAAACCTAAAACAAGTAGTCCTATTTCAAACCACATTTACTTACTAATAAAATTTCTTTGTTATGACACTTTCTCCGGTTTATAGGACCTCTCTCATATTCTATCTTCTTGTCATATCTAAACTCATAGTCGTTTATATCTTCTAGCCATTTCATGACACTTTCCAAACCACTTTTATCGGATGTAAAGTAAAAGCATGGATGGTTATGTAAAACGTCTAAAGTTTCTAAAGAGTCTCTCAAAGTCCAGTCTACTTGGTATTGAAAATCCCATGTGTTATAGAACGGCGGTCCACTATAAAGAAAACATTTTCCTTGTCTTTATATTTTTCATACAACTCTGTCCAATGACATCTCACAAACTCTATACCCTCAATATATTTTTCTATGTTCTCTTTGAAAACATTTGTATAGTTAAGATATAAAACTTTTGACATAAGTGTTTCAATGTCATGAACTCTTATAGCACCACTATATAATAGTCTAGAAGATATACTATCCCAGTCAATATACTCTGCTTTTTTCAAAACCTCTCTGACAGTATTTTTCTTATCTAATGGTATACGTTCCATCTTGCCTATAGGTATCTTTTCTTTCAACTCACTCAATATTTTGTTTGTGTCTGGTATATGTTTGAGACGGTTCATATAGTTGTCGAAGTCATTGCATATAATCTTTGAGTCTGGGAATACGGTATGGCACAAATGGGATATATAGAAACTTCCACCGAACAAATCTACAAATGTTAGACCATTCGGTAGTTTCTTAAGTTCTCTCAATAGAATATCTTTACATCTACTCTTATTTCCAAAGAAGGGTAACGGTGGTTTTGTAAAATTCATTTTATATATATAATAAAAATGTTTTTTCCTGAAAAGTGACAGAAAAGTGACTGGGGCTAGAGGGCACGAAGTGCCTGGAAGCCCCAATACCCTTTTTTTTTTTTTTTTTTCTTTCATCTTCTTGGTTTCTGCAGTGACCGCTTTGTGGTTTATTCATTTAAGGGTGGCGGAAAGTGAAGTGAATAACCAAAAATAAAATGCTCATATCTCGTCATATTTTTGATATCTTTGGGTAAAAATTATATGGATACAAAACTCATTTGTAGTAGTACCCTGAAAATCCGACAATCGAAATTTTTTTCATGACCCAAAAATTGCATATTTTTCACCGCAGACACACTATGAAAATATCTTCAAAAACGAATATCACCACAATGATACCCAATACAGAGATAGTATAATATATGAATTTGGGCGCATTATAACATATTTAGGATTTCATTATCTCGTGATACAGAAGATATCTGTCCGTAAAAAATTACCATTCATATATGCATACATGTTACTTTATATTCATGATGCCAAAATAGAAAAAGCTTTTTTCACCTAAATCTGATAACAATGCTAATATGACATATTGATGAAATACTGATATTTTCTTATTTGGTCCATATAGAAGCTTTTTAGATAGATTTTATAGAATTTGAGGAAAATAAGATATAATATTTGATAAAAGCTATTATTCCAATTTTTTCACAGAATCAGCTTTGATTTAACACATATATGCATATTTCAATCTTTAGTTTATGAATATTAATGTTCTTAAGTTGGATTTCGAAAGAATTATAAAATTTGACTGAAAACTATACTTGAAGATAGTATATGGTCATTATTTGAAGATTATAGATGTTTTGATTAGTATTTCAGTAAATTCAGAAAAATGATATTTGATTTCAAATAACACAAGTGAAGATAAGAAGGAAGTTTACCAATGAATTACTATATTAATAATGAATAATTTTTTTAATAAAATTGAAGAAATAGAAAGAAATAGAAAAAAATAAAAGAAATATTAATATTGAATAATATTGTTAAGTATATTTGGTTGTATGAGTGAATTATAGTACAAATGTAAGTGAATGGTATATTGTTAGGCATAAATAAAATGAATGAATAAATTAGAATAAGTAGTTTGAAATTGGATGTGTATTTGATGTTTTGTATAATAGTGAAAAAGGGTGATAGATAATTTCTAATGAAATGAGAAAATGTGTGGTGAAAAGAATAAAATTGGAGAACTATGACCGACAAGAGTGTGTTATGCACTCTTACCGCTCTGCATATATCATTCCGGGAGACATTGCCTGTGCATGTCTCCCAGAATGATAGAAAGTTCCGCATTCATAACTTGAATGCGGAACTTTGACCGACAAGAGTGTGTTATGCACTCTTACCGCTCTGCATATATCATTCCGGGAGACATTGCCTGTGCATGTCTCCCAGAATGATAGAAAGTTCCGCATTCATAACTTGAATGCGGAACTTTGACCGACAAGAGTGTGTTATGCACTCTTACCGCTCTGCATATATCATTCCGGGAGACATTGCCTGTGCATGTCTCCCAGAATGATAGAACGTTCCGCATTCATAACTTGAATGCGGAACTTTGACCGACAAGAGTGTGTTATGCACGCTCATTTGTCATATACTATGCTTTATAGAAAACAACTTTGCATTCAATCGTTAAAATATAATTTTCCCTAATTAATATTTAAATTTTATTTTTTGTGCTTTATATAACTTATGGCGTGTACCAAACTCTTTTACAGACTCTCCTGAGCTATCCTCACATATAAACATATGATAATAACGCATACATACTCACTTCATATTCTGATCTCATGACATATTACCGCAAAAACTATAATTATACAACACACCTCATAAAGTCTCATTTTACACGTATCTACACGTTCAAAACCTATTTTTCCCGCGTAATCTGATTCTTCAGGTTCCGCTGATTCGATTTCTGCTGTCAGATCGTGAAAATATGCATTACATAACAAGTTAAACGCAAATTACTTAACAACATCATTTTTGAAAAATCCACATTTTTCAAAAAATGAATGAATTCAAAAGTTTAGATTATATCAAGTCATAACCCAATATTAATTTTGTATTTTAGTTTTTGAGATATTCATTTTATTATACGCATTATTCAGAAAATTAAATATATTTGTGAGAGAAAACGGAAGATATAATAAATATCTCCTTATCTTGGAATTGGCAATTTGAAGAAAAATAGGTTTTGAACGTGTAGATACGTGTAAAATGAGACTTTATGAGGTGTGTTGTATAATTATAGTTTTTGCGGTAATATGTCATGAGATCAGAATATGAAGTGAGTATGTATGCGTTATTATCATATGTTTATATGTGAAGATAGCTCAGGAGAGTCTGTAAAAGAGTTTGGTACACGCCATAAGTTATATAAAGCAGAAAAAAATTTTTTTAATATTGAGGTGATTTGATCATATTGATAGTGTTGTATTATAGAGTGTAATTGGGATGGAATTCTTTTTTATTTGTAATACATCTCGAGAGAGGCAACATTCGATATGAAAGTTTCCTCTGTCGAGAAACTTACTCACACCTCAAGAGATGCGAAGAACTTTTGACAGGCAAAGTGCAATATTGATAGGTGATTGCACTTTGCCTGTCACATACATCTCGACAGAGGCAACATTCGATATGAAAGTTTCCTCTGTCGAGAAACTTCCTCACACCTCAAGAGATGCGAAGAACTTTTGACAGGCAAAGTGCAATATTGATAGGTGATTGCACTTGCCTGTCACATACATCTCGACAGAGGCAACATTCGATATGAAAGTTTCCTCTGTCGAGAAACTTCCTCACACCTCAAGAGATGCGAAGAACTTTTGACAGGCAAAGTGCAATATTGATAGGTGATTGCACTTTGCCTGTCACATACATCTCGACAGAGGCAACATTCGATATGAAAGTTTCCTC